GGCCATCAATCACCGTCCAGGGGACGGCAGAGGACACTCAGGAGCTCCCGAGCACAGGGACAGCACCTCGGGCACAGGCCCCACTGCCAGGGCCTCCCAGAGGGAGTCCATCATCATCAACCAAAGTTGGGAACCCTAAGATACCATGAGCTCACCCCTCCCCAGGCTGTTGGGGAGCCCAAGGCCCAGAAAGGATCCTCTAGGCCACAGAGCAAGCTGTAGGCCCACTGTAAGGCCCTTGACACCCCCCTCCTGGCCCTTCTCTGCCACTCTAGACAGAGGGTGCTGACACTGCGTGGCTCAGTCACTTTGTCCACTAAACACAATGACTCAGGGCCTTGACATACCCCCACGCAAGCTGTCAAAGCTCCTTTTTAAGTACATGACTTCCCAGACGGCCCTATCTCCAGTGGCCCCTGTGCTTTGCATCTATCAGGTGTTCGGGAAACCCAAATGGGGCCGGGGTGAGAAGGGAAATGTGTAAAACAGGGTTTCTCTCTCAGTGGGGGTTGGGGTGCTCAGGGGCAGAAAGAGGCCTGCTCCTACTTCCAATTGCCTCTGTCAGCTTATTTTATTGTATTTTAAAGATTTAGTTTTATTTATGCATACAAGAACTGAGGTCTAGGCCAGAGGTATGGGGCGGGGTGTGTGTGAAAGATTCACCAGAGACAGAGTGGGGAGCAGAATAGGCAGACCGACCGAAATACACTGTTGAGGGGAGAAGCGGGCAAGACAGGAGAGGTCTGCTGCGCCATGTGGGTCACCTCCCTGGCCAGGGATCGAACTCATGCCACAGTGACTGTCAATAGCTTGATCGCTCTGAGGCTTTAACCGCTGCACCACCAGGGTGGACCCCCATCAGCTTATTTTATTTCGACAACTACCCCAAGTGAACAGAGACCAATACTGAGCACTACTCCCTAATGTTACTAACATTAAATCGCTGTTACTAAGGCCTGTGCCTGGGAGAGCACCAGCACTGCCCCTGACTTCAAGGGGCTCAGAGAACATACAGGAAGAATTGATGGTAAAACAAAGAGCCAGCCCAGGGAGACCTGGAGGTGAGAGACTGCGTACCCTGACTCCCTGTATTCTGAAGAGGAGGGGGCAAGGAGAGGGGCCGTGTCCTCCCTTGGGATCCACCTTTTGGAACTGAGGGCTGGGGCCCTGGAATCCATATCCACCCACCTGTTGCCGGAGACGTTGTGCCAGGGCCTCCATCTACTGCAGTGCCATTTCCCTGCGCTTCTGCGCCCTGGGGATCTTGTTCCGTGCTGGAGCCTGCTGCCAGAAGAACAGGACAGCCCCCAACAAAGCAGCCCCCAGAACAGCCAGCAGGAGAAGCACCACCAGGGAATAAGCCAGCCAAGTCAGCCCAGGCATTATAGCACCTGTGTGGATGCAACTGTTCCTGCAGAACCCTGCATGCTTGTTTATTAGAACACCCCTCCGGGGCAGGCACCAAGGCCCTGGGTGTGACCAAACCCAGCCTCCTCCCAGCTCCTTCTTACCCCTATCCAGCCTTCCTGGGAACAGAGATACTGTCTCACTAATCATTCAGAGGAAGAAGTTTTGGCAGAGAGCCTGAGAAGGAGCCCCGGCAAGCAGGTGACTAGGACACAAGTGACACTAAAGGTTTTAGGTCTGATTATATTTGCATTTAGAAAGGCCACCCAGGGTCTCCCAGATGGCACAAGGGGTTAAGACGCAGCATTATGAAGCTATCCACAGCCGCTGTGGCATGAGTTCAATCCCCGGCCAGGGAGCTAACCCACATGGTGCAGCGACCTCTCCTGTCTCCCCTCAGCAGTGTATTTCAGTCAATGTGCCTGTTCTGTTCTCCACTCTGTCTCTGGTGAATCCTTTTACCCCCCACAACTCTGGCCTGTACCCCAATTCTTGTATGTATAAACAAATCTTTAAAAAAAAAGAAAGAAAGGCCACCCCATTGCCATGTGAGGGAAATCGGAGAAGAGAGGTACAGAGACAGGGGCGGGCAGGCAAACAAGAGCCCATTGTACCTGCTTCACATCCTCCTCCCCTCCCACCCCCGGACATCCACCAGCACCCTGGTGCTGCCAGTCTCTGATGGGGTTGTCCCTAAGGTTTCCTGTTGCTTTCAGGATAATCACCAACTCCTTCAACATGGCTCATGGGCCACATGGAGGTGGGCTGAGCAGGCCATACCTGCTGGGGAGAGCAGCTCCCGGGGAAGCCTGGGGCCAGCCGGAGAGGAAAGGGACAGCTAGGAGAGAATGTGCTGCACCTCCCCCTGCAGTGACCCTTAGGGCTAATGGCTTGCACCACGGTCCCAATGCTCAGAGGCATTCATCCCAGGAGAGACAACGCAAGGAAGCGAGGTCCGAGGCAGACAGGCCAACATGCCCTCGCCTCTGCCCCTGCCACAGACACCCCCTGTAAACAGACACAGGCAGAGCAGCATGGTACGTGAACATTGTGTCTCTCTCCAAGGTGTTTGTGGTCACCTAGCAGAGAACCTGACGCCTGGGTATTTAGCACGTGCTCTTGGGATGACTGTGTGATTATCCTGAAAGTACCCTAAGTTTAAACATTCTTTGAACTCCTGATTGATTGATTGCTCTTGGACAAATCAGAGAGGTAGCCCTCTCTAAGCTTGCTTCCCATCTATAAAATGGTAGTAAAATGCCCATTTTCCCATGAGATCACGGATTATCAACTCGACAACCTAACAGATGTTGGATTCTATTAAGACAGCCTACTTTTGAGCATGAGCAGAGCACAAAGAAACCCTTTCACACAGCCGGTGAGCTCTCGCCTTGCTGTGTGGGAGCCTTCACTACAGGGCCTGCAGTGGGAGGTGTGTGCTGTAACCTGCACCAGCCAAGTTAGCATGCATCAGAGGTCACAGCCAGGAACCTAGACTGGCTCAGTGACACTAAAGGTTTTAGGTGTGATCAGATTTGCATTTAGAAAAGTCACCCAGTTTGCACTCCCACCAGCAGTGTAGGATCAGGGGGAGGGAGGGAGGAGCACAGGGGACTGAGGTGATGGTGCACAGGTCATTGGTGAAGGAAATTCTATGGGGACTACACCTGAGGTGGGGGGGAAGCAAACATCGTTTAAAAATGAACAATGGGGGCCTCCCTGGTGGCGCAAGCGGTTAAGATGCAGCCTATGAAGCTGTCCGCAGCCACTGCAGCATGAGTTCGATCCCTGGCCAGAGAGGTGACCCACATGGTGCAGCAGACCTCTCCTGACTCGCCCGCTGCTCCCCTCAGCAATGTCTTTCAGTCAATCAGCCTGTTCTGTTCCCCACTCTGTCTCTGGTAAATCCTCTCACCCCCCCCCATACCTCTGGTCTGCACCCCAGTTCTTGTATGCATAAATAAATCTTTTTTTAAAAAGGGTGATATGCTTGCAAGTGTCAGAAGAAATTGTGTCACAAGTGGGGTGACCGGGGCAGAGAACACTGGATGGGAGTCAGGCTTGGATGAGCACCAATACCACTGAGTACAGGACTGGGAGTGGCCATGATGGGGCTCCAAGGGTCAACTGTGAACCAGTGAAAGAAGGAGATGCCCCGACTCTGCAGCCTCGTGTCTGAAAGCACAGGGATATCAGTAACCAGAGGAGAAATAGAGCATGAAGGGAAAGAAGTAGGTGTAGATGGCAAGGTTTTATGAAACAATAAAGACAAACTGACATTGCAGCAACTATTTGTTTAACCCAGTTAGTTGTCCATGTGGGTTGTACCATGTCTGTGCCTTGAGACTGACCCCAGCTGGGCAGGGATGCCATTGATGGAAAGGATAGTACCACCCGGTACGCCACCCAGGTGGGGAACTCCCTCTGGAGGAAGAAGAAAAACAGAGTGCAGAAGCAAGCCTTGGGAAGGATGCATGCCTGAAGAATTTAAATAACGCTGGCAGGAGCTAAGCCTCCATGCCAGACTCAGCAACATCTTCTTAAGCAAGCAGGGAAATGAGGGCTGGGGCCAGGGAGAAGTGAGGAAACCACTCATGGGGCCAAGAAGACCCCCCGAGTTTGTCACAGATCATGTTCCTGGTGAGACATGAGCTGACAGACTCTAATCTGGACATCTGACTTCCATCCCAAGTGTCAAGTCCCAAACCACCTCTCCCTGTACCCTGGGCCACTGCACCAGCTCAGCCTCAGAACCCCTGCCCCACATTAGGGCCATGGAACAGCCGTCATTTCTCTCTCCAGGGTCTGCCCTGCCTGTCTAGATCCCTCACTGCTCCTGTGTGATCCCTTGAGAACTCCCCACTGCCCAAGACAGGATTCAAGTTCCTGAACTGGTTCCCAAGGCCGCCATGATTGGTCCCCATCTATATCTCTGCTGCTTGTCTTGTTCCCATTCAATGCCCACACCCATGAACTACATTCTGTTCTTTCAGCATATGGTTCCTTCTTCCTGGGATGTCCTCATCCCTTATCCCAGGCTCTGGGAAACTTCTAGATTCCACATAGATCCTCCTCCTTCAGGAAGCCTGCCCAGAGCAATCCAGCTCTGACTCATCACCTCCCCAGCCCCGTGGACTCCTTTTTCCAATGGAACCAGCTCAGAGCCAGCACTCCTGTGCCCTGTGGGCTCTGAGGACAAAGAAGCAGTGACAGGAGGCTTGCCATCCAGGAGTACCACTGTGCTACTCAGACAGGCCTACCTATAGATACCCACCACAGGGGGCTGAGGCTTTCGCTTTCTGGACAAAAAGTGGTCTGAGTTGGGCTGCAAATGATTTAATGGTAGAGGAGCAGAAAGGACATCCTTGGCAAAGAGAGGAGCCAAGGAAGGAGGAGGAGGAAGGACAGGCCTTGCAAAGTGTGGGGGCTGTAATGTCCACTCTGAGAGGCCTGACCCATCCTGTGGGTGACAGGAAACAGGGGGGTTTGGGAAGCAGGATTCTGACATGTCTGGAGTCGGGCTTTGGAAAGTCAAGTTTCCATCCTCCAGTGCCCTAACAATGGTGACCAGAAACTACACAGACGAGGAATCATTTCTTCACTGTTAGCAGGCCTGTACCCGTGTCACACCCACTGGCTGCCAAGTGGCAGGGGAGGGCAGAGAGAGGGACCAGAGAGGAGAGCGAGGTCCAGACTCAGGGTGTCTGCACTTCTTGTAGGGGCTCGGGGAGGAGATATGGAAGCCTCTGCCCCAGGCCAAACATCTCCTTGCAGGGCGGCAGCTGGGCCTTGACTAAGATGAGCACAGTCCAGTGAGTCAGGTCCACTGGGGCCGGGCGGGTGGGCGATCAGGATGGCTGTTTTTCAGGGGTCATCAGCCGCTCTACCTCCCGCATGAACCGCAGACACAACTCTTCCTGCCAGGGAAGAGCCACGCACTGCACGGCCACAGGCAGCCCCACGCTCTTCCTCATGCCCTGTGAGGGACAAAGGCATCAGGATGGGAAGCAGTGAGGCAGGAACCCACCCCAGATTCAAGAAGCACCCCAGCTGGAAAGAAATGGCAGCACAGCAGAGCCAGGCCCGTAGGAATACTGGGTTAAGAAAGGTGGGCAATGCAATCTCTGCAGTGCCGGTTCGATCCCTGGCTGCCGGGTAAGGGTCCCGCATGGCGCGCAGACCTCTCCTGCCGCCCGCTGCTCCCCTCAGCAGTGGACTTCGGTCCTTCTGCCTGCTCTGCTCCCCGCTCTGGCTCTGGTGAATTCTCTCACCCTCCCGCACTTCTGACTGTACCCAATGCTTGTATAAATAAATAAGTCTTTAAAAAAAAAAAAAAGGAAAGGTGGGCAAGACCCACACATGGCAAGCTATTTCCTTCACAGCAGTTAAGAGTTGGGGTGCAGATGTGAATCCTGGGGAATGGGGCTTTGGAATCCAAACCAAGCCATTGCCTCACCTTCTTCAGCACCTTGTCCCAAATATCTCCAAAGCAGCCCTGGTAATGATCCATCTGGGCCTCATCCTCTGCGGTCACCGTGGTGACGGGCACCACCCCCGCGGGGAAGTCCAAGCAGTTGTAGAGCAGAGTGTAGCTGACAGCCCCTGAGGGACACGGCACACATGGCAGGAGCGCTGAGTGACCGTCAGTGCCCCTGTCCTCCCCGCACCAGTCTTCTACCCTGTGAAGTGACCGCTGCCCCCCAAGCCAGGGGAGGTCCTCTCCCAGGAATCCAGATTCAGGGCTGGCTGCAGAGCCTTGCCCATGGAGTTTCCCCCACCTAGAATACTGTTCTTATTTTTCTGGCTTATCTAAATCCCACCTGGACTTCAAACACCACTTCCCCAAACCACAGTTCCTGTTACTCAGGATCTCCAACTTGAACAGCTGAGGACAGGGAGCTTCTTCCCTCCCGGCATATCCCACGTGATTGCCACCTCTCCAATCAGCCGGACTGCGGGCCCCCCAAGAATGGGGTCTTCCCCCATGGCGCAGCTCTCCCACAGGGAGTATTCTTCAACTTCCTGGAAGCGCCACCGGGCACAGGGCAGAACTCAGAAGAGAAGGAGGAGGCATGAGGGAGCAGCGGGCCTCACCTGTGGCCCTGCCTGCAGAATTGAAATCCAGAGCAGGACCCAGCATGGGGGTGAGCAGCACATCCAGTTCCAGTGCTTTCCACTGGGCAATCACGGAGTGACGGTACATCTGGGGAGGATACCAGCACACTAGGTGAAGCACTCAGAGCCAGTCCTTCACATGCACTCTCGAATACAGGCCCTGCGGCTGGGGTGGCGCTGGCCCCAGCACCTGACCTTGAACCTGGACTAAGCCACAATGGGCTGGAGGTCCTGGGGGCATGCCAGTGTGTTTGCTTTTAGGGGGCATCCGTCACTCTACCTCCCACAAAACCATAGACACCATTCTTCTTCCCAGGGCAGAGCCACATAGTGTCCAGCAGCACCAGAGGGGAAAAGAGGCTCCAGGAGTCCCACACGTACCCAGGCCCCAGGACAGGCACACCAGCAAGTGAAGGCTAGAGAGCAGGGCCTGAGCAGGCCAATACAGAGTGGAAGGGGGACCAGGGGCCAAGAAACTCCACTAGCAGGTAGCCTGTCCACCTCCAACTCCACCACCTCACTCTAATCTAGGGACTCCAGCCTCACCTCAATCTCGTGCTGCAGTTCCCAGAGCTTTCCAGCTGACCTGGGCAGAGGGAAGTAAGGTCATTGGCCATGAGGGTCACAGCCACAGATTAACAACATCAGGCCCTACCCTTAACACCTCCCAGATGGCATTCCTCCTCAGACCCTCCTTCTCAACTATATGGGGGCTCTGAGAAGGAAGTAGTGCAAATATCTAAAGAGAAATTTGAGAAAAACAGGCCCCAACAGGGACTTAGGCTAGGTCACTAGTGACTCTACAACAGAGCCATGACCAGACCAGGCCTGATCCCCAGCTGCCCTTAGGATCCAGGATGGACCAGAACTGTCAAAGGCCCTGCCTGGGCCACTGGCAGCCTCAGAAGCTGCTGCCCCCCATCTTTTCCTGGCAGAAACCACTTGAACCCACGTCAGGCAACGTGGGAAATAGTCTTACCGAGACTTCATGTTGCTGAGAAAGGCTGCCAACCTTGGGAGCTGTAGAAAGACAGTCAGTGACTCAGCACAGAGCCAAGCGGTGGCTATAATCTCCCAAGCCACCCCTGCCTCCTCTGTCTCCTGCCCCCACCCCAAATCCCAGGTCAGCAGCGCTTTCAGCATGCAGCTTGTGGGGACGAGAGGAGTTCGTGTGAGGCCATGCCTAGCCACACCAAGAGAGACTAAAGCAGGGGTTCCCTCCCAGGCCACCCCGCCCTTCCACTCCGGGGCCCTTACCAGAGGCTTCAGCAGGAAAGCCAGCATTCCTTTAAGCCACCCAGGCAGCTTGAGAATTGGAATCAGGTCCCCCAGGCAAGGGTCCACGAAATCACCTTTGCTGGGAAACAAAGGTTCTAGTCCAGGCACTCCCACCCAGGCATTCCCGACTCTCTACTCAGTGACCCTGTCCACCTCCCTCCTCACCAGACTCTGGTAACCACTGGTCTCCAATCCCTTTATACGCCTCCTTCCAAACATGTGGTTTGTTTCTGTTGATCCTTTGGGATGCCTGGGATCAACCCCACACCCACATCTCCCAGGCCAGGATGCTGTCTCCCTCCCTAGCAAACTCACTTCCAAGCAATAAGAACTGAGGGCAACATCTCCCTGGCCAGAGCTTGACACTGAGAGCACCCCCTGCATCTCCCCCCCCCCCCACACACACACAGTGATGCTGATGCCAGCTGGAGGCACAAGAGGGCAGTGCTGAGTGGGCTGCCATGATGCTTGTCTTGAAGGCTGCGCTGGCCCTAGATCTCAGGACAAGGTCTCAGGCGCTGCTCCTAGGGCCTCATTCCCAGAACCAGAGTGAGGTGTAGCCCCTCCCCAAGAAAGCCTGGCCGCTACTCTCCTACTCGCCCAGGGGAAGTCCAGTCAGCCCAGGCACATTCCCGGGCTTGTCCTCGGCCCCTGTCAACTTTAAAGACTGCAAACATTCAAGAGGAACCAGCATCTCTAAATGTGAGCTCTGCAAAGTCTCTTAAAATGGGTCTGATCCAACCTACCCAATTTATAGAAGAGAAAATCAAGACCCTGATCAAAAGGGAAATAAAAATGTAGCTCAAGTCAGAAGAACCTGGTGTCACAGTATGATGTCCAGATGCCTCCTTCTGCTTCCATCCTGCCCTGTCCACTTGCTACCTCCCAGACAGCTCAGTCCAGGGTCACCAAGGAGGCCTCCCCTCTCACTGCACCTTTCCAGAGTCTCCCTGGCAAGGTATCTCCAGGCTCAACTTGTATGGCTGAAGGGGCAGTGAGGTCCCTACCCAGAATGCTCAGACCCACTTCCTATTCAGTTGAGGTCTCATCCCCATCTCCCTGCAGACTGGCCCATCCTGGGGTCACAGCACCCAGCTGCTCTCTCTGGGACTCTCCATCTCCTGATCCCACCACAGACCCCGAAGGCCAACATCACTCACAAGTTCTGTAGGAAGCTGTGGCCACCGTCACTGAACAGCCCACCTGTTGACAGGGTCTCCAGAGCATGGGGTATGTTGCTTGGCAGGAAGGGAATCAGCTGTAGGGATTGAGGTGTATAAGACCCCCAGACCTGGAAACACTTGGTTCCCACAACCCCCATGTTTTCCAGGAAGTCCTGAGGATGGTCTGGTCCAACTCTGCCTGAACAGGACCCCTCAGTGGAGCCACAACGGCAGACCGATCGACCCCTAAAAACTCCCTGTAAAATGCACATTATGAGAGAAGTCTGGAGCCACACATAAGTCTGTCTCAGAGGAGCAGACCAACAAACTGGCCACCCATCTCAGGGGCCCCATACCCTCTGGACAGCTGTGCACCAATGCTTGTGGTTGGTAAGGCCCCTCCAATGCAGCGCTCGCTGCAGCATGAGGCCATGTTCACCATCAATCACTTACTCCAATACCCTCAGCAACCCTCTACACACCACTGCCACAGGGGCACAGTCACCATCCCAACCACAAAGCCATCAGGATGCGAGGATGCCAAGGTGGGGGGTAGGGGGTGGGGAGGGCAGCCATGGTACCAGGAAAGCTCCCCAGAAGGAGGGCCCCCACTGTCATACCGTGTGGCCAGCAGCCTCAAGGCTCTGCTTAGTCTCCAGTAGGGCCCGCTTCATGGCCGGGGTGGGCATGGTGTATTTGTCGGTCTCATAATACCCCACACGCAGGGGTTGAGAGCTTCTATAGACCTGGGGACAAAACACAGGAGTCGTCAGAAGAGAGTGGCCCGAGGCAGGAACCCAAAGATCAGAGAAAATGCTCAGCCCCTAACACAGCTGCACAGCTGCAGTCTCGATCCCAAAAACTGACCGCTGAGGAGGACAGTCCCTTCCGTGTCCATCCCTTTCACAAAACACCATCACGGTGACTCAGCAGGGGCAGAGCAATGCTCACTGGTTATATGAAGACGGTCATATGAGGCAACTGAGGCTTCAGGTCTAAACAGACCCAGAGTGGGGCTGGGACTTGCCCAAGGCACCTGAGGCAGAGTGACAGCACTGGGCCCAGAACCCAGGCATCCTGTCTCTGGAGCTGAGAGTCTCTACTTCCTGTTTCAGAAATGCAAGTCCTGGATCCGTGATAACATGTTCCAGACCTCAGGACACAGGCCTCATCTCCTCCCGCGCAGGAAGCAGGGTTCATGCACCACTGGGCTTGGTTAGAACTTCCTCCTCTGCTGAAGAGGAGGAGCCACCCCACCCGACTGAGATCCCCTGCCTGTCAAGAACTACCAAGGCCCGCGCTCCTGTCCAGGGATACTCAGCCCTTGCAAAGCAACCCAGGCTGGGTGAAGGCAAGAGGTCTGTGCAGGACAGAGAAATGCCAACTGCTGAAAAATTGAGCTACATCACCTAGCTCACTGTCCATGTGACTTTACTATTCCACTGTCAGCACGCAGCTTCTACTCCCAAACGCTCTGCATATAAAGTACAAGTAACTACTGTTCATTCCTGAAAGACCATCAAACTCTTCAAGAGAAGCATTAAATGACAGCTATACCTCAAGACTCCTTGAACTTCTTACCTCAAAGTCCTGACCCTGCTGGCCCCATTAATCCCACTATTAGATCACAACCCTTACAAACCCCCATGTTGAAATACTGGCCTTAAATCAGACATCAACATCTCAGCAACTATTCCAAATTTGCCCTGACCCCACTCCTTATGCTACTAAAGCTCCATCGTCAAGGCAATATACAGTCTAGGAAGTAATAAACTCAGCCTTGCTTCATCAGCAGGCTGTTTGGGTGATATTTTGAGGCGTTAGCATTCATTACTGCCCACAGATCCCAGCTTTCTCTGGGAGGATCCCAGCTCTGCTTTTAACCTTAACTTTAACTTTAACCTTAACCTTAACTTTAACCTCTCCTTAACTCACTCAGCCTATGTGCCAAGCACCCCATTGGAGGTTGGGAGGACGTGAATACTGCAAGGCTCCTGTCTGCAGACAGGTTTAGGAATTGCCCTCACGGAGTTCTCAGCCTGAGAAGTAGGTCCTCAACATCCATTTCCCAGTTATCAGCTGCAGAGCCTGGGCCAGAAGGTGGGGCTTTCCTCAGCAGAGGCTCTAGGCCCCGTTTGGAAAGTCGAAGGGTTTCCAAATGCAGGCAAGGGCTCCATCTGGTGACTGTCTGCAGAGCAGCAGCTAATCCTGGCCTCAGACATGGGGGGATCTGCTCTCTGGCCTCAGGAACGCTAGTGAAAACCAAATCTGCCCCACGCCCACCCCCACTTCTGCTCACCTCCTCCTTGAATGGCAGAGGGGGCACGGTGGGGTCCAAGCGGAACATGTCCTCACACAACAGTGCTCGCAGGCACAGCGCCAGACTCTCCACATCCCGGGCCATGGGGCCAACTGAGAGTTGTACTGTGGGGAAGACGAGAGATCAGCTGGCCCCAGTAGGCTCTGGGGCTGGGCCATGGCCTGGAATGTGACCAGAGACAAGAAGGTAGGAACTCAACCCTAGGGCCACCCGCCTGGGGACCAAACACTGGCCCCAAAAGAAGGGACAGAGGTGGATCAAGTAGACACCTGCCCCCATCTTCCCAGGCCCTGAAGGGACCATGGATCTCACCTGCCACCTGTCCATAGACACAGCCCTTCAGGCCACTCTTGCTGGATAAGAAACAAAGGAGGAAATGTTGGAAAGAGGAAATGGCCCAACCCCACACCTTACAGTCTCCCTATCCCCGCCTACCCCCCACCTCCACGCCCCACCCCCAAACTCTAGCCACACTGGAAACTAGGAACTAAGGCCAGTGCTGTGATGCTCTCTCCCAGCGAGACTCCAGTGAGGAAAGCCCTTCATGGAGCCCAGAAAAGTGGGACGCTAGACCAAGGTCACACAGCAAGAGGCCCAGAAGATCCTACCAACCACGCACACCATACCTGAGACGGTTTCCTGTAGGCTTGAAGCCGCAGATGCCACAGAAGGCGGAGGGGAAGCGGATACTGCCTCCGATGTCAGTTCCTAAGCCCAGGGGTGAGCCTCCAGCCCCAATGAGGGCCCCCTCACCCCCAGAGGAGCCACCTGGACTCTTGAAGGAATTCCATGGGTTTGTGGTGCGGCCAAAGAGGGGGTTACTGCAATCAAAGCTGGAGGAAACAGGGACGCATCAGTCCAGGTCACGCTGGCCCCGTGTTCCTGCCCCCACCCCCCACTCCTGAGATCCAACCTGAACATGGACTGGGGGACGTTGGTGTGCACAAAGGGCACGGCACCCTGCAGCTTCAGCACCTGCACCACCACGCTGTCCCACTCTGCTGGTACCCCCTCATTCAGGCTCAAGCCCAGTGTTGAGTCCTGGCCCTGGGGGGAAAGATGAGGACAAGAGGGGTGTGGCAGATAAGTCAGAGCCCCCGAGCAGCACAGAGTCCACTCTCACCACCGTCTCACAGGCCAGGCCAGCCAGACACACCCCTCTCAAGGCATCTGGACCTGATGCTTCCTCTGTGGGCCAGGGTGAACCAAGACAGAGTTGGCTGGCAGGAACTGGAGAGGAGTTGGGGCCTGATACTGACGCAGGGCATACCTTGTAGCTGAGACACTCCTTGAGGCTCACAGGAACACCGTAGAGCAGACCCTGCTTCGGGGCCTGGGAAAGCTGGGTCTCACAGTCTGTCAGGTAGGTGGTCACACAGTTGATCCCCTTGTTCACTTCCCAGGCCTGGGGGAAGGAGAAATGAAAACTAGGCAGAGTGAGGCCTTTGTGTGTGTGTGTGTGTGGTAAAATATATGTAAAATTATGAAAGTTACAGATTTAAAGCACACCCAGGGAAAAAGTAACCAGAAACATGGCTCAGGGCCAGAGGCATAGGGATAACTAAGGCCCAGCACCCCGCTTACTGGCCACTCCTGGTCCCAGTCTCACCCTGAATTTGGCATCACAAGGCCAGGGCACAAAAAGGAGCAGGATACTGGCCTCTGATGCCCCCAGAGGGGGTAAACTGGGACCAGGGGGACCGCTGGACCACACCCCTCCTCTTCCAAGCCACATCTCCACCCGGTGAGGCAGATGGGAACTAGAAAGGTAACACTGGGAATTAGTGCAGAGCAAGGCAACAGCCTACAGGCTCCCAGAGCCAGCACCTCTCCTCCGCCCCAAGCAGAGGGTCCACACCTGCCCCAGCTAGCAGTGTGGGAGCCAGACTAAAGGGGAAGCATTAATAGTGGCTACCTGCCAGGGGGGCTTTCCAGAGCCTCAAACCACACTCAACAGGGCCTTACAAGAGAAACAAGTGAGGGAAGAGTAAGGTATAGCTTTTAGGTAAGACTCCCTACCCTGGAAATAGCTGAGGAAAATAGCTGTGGGTTCTGTTGCCACCCAAGGCTTCAGGATGGTGTAACCAGAATTTCCTCATGTGGATGATTACAAAGGACAGGAACTTTTTCAGGGACATCAACAGGGAAGTAGCCACCCATGTGGCTATGTGTCTATGTGTCCCCCCAGCCGGCCCAGGGGTTTCTGGTTCTTTCTACACCCAGTCTCCCTCTCACCCGCTCAGCTGCAGTCACTCACACCACTGTCTCACTCATACCACTATCACACTCACCCACCAAGTCACCCTGACACTGTGTCCAGCTGCTTAATGGACTTCCTCATCCAGGCTCTAGAACAATGTTGCAAGATGGTGGTTAGAAGCCAGGGATGGCTAGAGGGAGTGGGGTGTGACAAGGGATGGACTAGAGAGCTATGAAAAGAGAACAGACTAGATTTGACAGATGGGGTATGAGTAGGAAGTGAGAGAAATTTGGGCTGAAAGCCAGGTTTCTGGTTAAGACAATATGCTCAGTGTCACACACACCCCGCTCTGGTTCCTTCCCTCCCTGGCAGCCCAGGCAGTCCCACAGTGGCCCTCAGCAGGACACATTCCAGGCCAGGTTTTCCTCAAGCTTGTGCAGAAAGAGGGAGAAGAGAGGAAGATCTCTAACTGCCATTACCTTGCCCACATAGGTGAAGAGTACAGCCTCAGGAGACAGCTCCCCACTGTGTAATTTCTGCACCAGTTGAGGCAGGGGTAAGGCCAACAGTGCCTCTGAGTCCAGGTCTGGGTTCTGGGGAGATATTTTGGATCAGTCCCTCACTCCTCACAGGCCCCGTGAGTCTGCGACACCTGTGTGTGGCTCACACCCTGCAGCCCCCTGGGGTACCCAAGCAGATGCTCACCAGTCACATGTCAATCCATGACAGGAAGGCGCCCCCACAGCTCTGACACACCAGGGATGTCATCCAGCCCCAGCAAGCACTAGCCACTTACAGGCAGTGCAGATACATCTCTTCTAGAAGCTCATTAGAAGTGGTACCCAGGGAGAGGCCATGCCCAGGCTGATTATGAAACCATTACAAACCACCACCACAATGGCTGCCCTACTATGTACCTAGCACCATGCATCCTATGTTTTAATTGAATCTTACTATTATCCCTATTGTACAGATAAAGAAACTGAGGCTCAAACCATGGTAAGTGTGAGGAAAATAAACAGTGGGCTGTGAAACAACAGGATTGACTCGGAGGATCTGGGCAGGTCTCTCTGAGGCCCTGCCATCCATCCAGTGTTAAAACTAGAAAAAGAGAGCCTCCCTGATGGCGCAGCGGTTGAACGCTGGGTTGCGAAGCTGTCCGCAGCCTCTGCAGCGCCGGTTCGATCCCCGCCCGCTGGGTGCAGACTTCTGCAGCCCGCTGCTCCCCTCAGCAGTGTGCTTCATCATTCTGCCTGTTCTGCTCGCTGCTCTGGCTCTGGTGAATTCTCTCACCCTCCCGCGCTTCTGACTGTACCCAGTGCTTGTATAAATAAATAAATAAATCTTAAAAAAAAAAAAGTAGAAAAGGAGCCAGCCTGGACTCCTGCTTTCCCCTCCCACTCACCTCCAATCAGTAAGCATGCATCCTAAGTAGCTCTAGAAAATGGCTACCTCTCCATCCCCAGTTACCAAGACCCTCACTGATGCTCCTCCTTTCTCTCCTGTGTCACACAGGGGCCACCTTACTGGCTCTCACCAACCCTTCCTGCTAGAGCAGACAGTGCAAAGCACAAGCAAGCCTTGCCTCCCCTGTCACCCCACAACCTTAGAGTAGGTTCCAGGAGGTGGTTCCAGCCTATAGTCGAGTCAGACTCCTCTGCACCCCCTCCCTGTCCACTCACACCCACCACACCCACCTTGGCCTTCATGCCCTGGAACTCTCCGCACTTCCCTTAATTTGTTAAACCAGTACAACACGTTTGAGATTTTCCCATAATAAAGGGAACTACAAAGAAGGAAAAAGTGGCTTCATAATCTCTCCCCACACACACTGGATAATTCCTGGTGATAGATTTTTTTAAAGAGGTATACAACATAAAAAGTGATCATCCTCCCCAGGACAGAACTTCCAGGACTACCTTGCCCCACCCTACTGCTGAGAGGGAAACCACAGGGGAGTGAGTAAATCTAGTAAAAGGGGACAACTATATGGTGAAGGAGAGGATCAGAATTTCAGTGGTGAACTTAATGTAGTATACAGACTTGTTGAGTTTTAACAATGCACACCAGAGGGCCTCCCCGGTGGCGCAGCGGTTGAGCGCTGGGTTGCAAAGCTGCCCGCAGCCTCTGCAGCGCCAGTTCGATCCCCGGCTGCTCCCCGGCCACCGGAGGAGGGTCCCACATGGTGCGCAGACCTCTCCTGCCGCCCGCTTCGGTCCTTCTGCCTGCTCTGCTCCCCTCTCTGGCTCTGGTGAATTCTCTCACCCTCCTGTGCTTCTGACTGTACCCAGTGCTTGTATAAATAAATAAACAAATAAATCTTTAAAAAAAAAAATGCACACCAGAAACTTAGATAGTGCTATAGTGCAACATTACTTTAATTTTTTTTAAATCCTTGACTACAAAAAAGAAAGGAAAACACAGCTAACAGTTGGGTTTTTAAAAAACCCATAATGTATTATAATTGGCTATATTTATATGTGCATATATATTCCTTATTGTATGAAGGGATCCTACTGTATACACAGTACTGCACTTTGTCTTTCCCATGTCACAATGAAAATAGCAAGATTCTTTCTTTCCCCAATTACATAAATGTGCTTGTTATAAAATCAAAAACAAAAATAAAAAAAAAAACCTAAAAAGATGGAGTATGGGGGAGAAAGTAAAAGTCACCAGAGAGCCCATCAGCCTGGAATGACAATGACAGTCTGGTTACCACCTTTCCCCACTGCGCTAAAAGGTGCCACACGGTCCCCGTGCCTATCAGCTCAAAGCTAACTGCAAGCTCCCGTCCAATCTCCACACAAATTTTAATTCTTTTCTGTGTGCTCCCATGTTGACAGCTGATGACACCATTTATAACAGCTATTTTTAAGTCTTCAACTAGTTATCAGGCAGCTGAGACATTTTCTCCTTCATAAGACACTAAAGTCAGTCTGTACCTCACGTAGACCAGTCTGTGGACATATTCACATGGAACCTATGTACTTCGTACAAAATTAAATCTGTCTCTTTATCCTGCTACTCTATCTTGTTTCAATTTAAGCACTTTTCAAGGAAAGGACATGGGAGGGCAGGGGGAACTCTTTCCTCCTTGACACTTTTCAGGGCTAAGATGAGAAACTCCCAGAAGAAATACAGCTGAAACAGTCTCAAAATTCGCTCCTGTGACAGATTTCCCTCACTTCACATTCTTTGGAAAACAGGAAGGTGGACGTCTGCCTGGTGGCGCAGGGGTTAAAGACAGCGCTATCAAGCTATCGCCAGCCACTGCAGCACAAGTTCGATCGCTGGCCCCCTGCCGGCCAGGGAACTGACCCTCGAGGTTCAGCAGACCTCTCCAGCCTCGCTTGCCCTCTTGTTCCCCTCAGCAGTGTATCTCAGTAGGTCTTTCTGTTCTGCTCCCCACTCTCTCTGGTGAATCCTCCCACTTCCCCACCCCTCCCCACACCTCTGGCTTACACCCCAGTTCTTGTATTCATATTAATAAATCTTTAAAAAAAAAAAAAACAACCAAAAACAGAAAGGTAATTCTCCCAGGCTTCTCCTCCTGGAAGAGCCAAGCTCAGGTGTTCCGAGGCCAGGTTCTCTTGCCCCAAGGAGGGATATAAATGCCTTTTGTATTTCAGAGCCAAAATTTTTGCCCAGTGGGATTCTTTAACATAATGGTTGTTCCAGAGTATTGAGGCTTGGAGTTGAAGCCAGGGATACTCACCCTTTTACCACCCTGCAACCCTGCCCGCTGGGTGCACTCCCTTCGGAAGAGAGTCTGTAGGCAGGTAGTGGGCAGATTTCTGTAGCTGCCCCCACGTGGCTCTTGGAGCTAACAGAACCCAGCTGGCCACACGGGACTGGGAGGCCTGGGAGCAGCTGGAGTCTCCAGGCTGTGCTGGGGGTCACTGCAAAGATCGTTGAGAGGGACACCTCCAGGACTCAGTCAGAGAAGGCAAACTAGACAGTGAAGAACTTGTGTTCAAGTAGGGGAAGTGCCCCATTTGAATTGAACATCAGGGCCTCCCATCTGGAAGGAGGGGTAAAAACTGGCTGAGGGTGTACTTGCCAACCATCTTGATGCGTGGAGGCTGGAACCAGATGCATTGTGATTTCAGTAAAGAAGTGAATACGACATAACCTGGCCTAGGAATGGTGTAGCATCAATTCACACCATTACATCTGTGAAACCCCACTGCAATCAAGGCCCAGTGTCGAGTCCTTTATCTCCTCCCTGCTCCTCTCCACTGGAAAGAGCCTGGATAGTCCCACTGGGCATGCAGGGTTTAATTCCAGTTCTGGCCCCACTCAAACATCACTTGCTGTTGCTTGGCCTCTGCTAAATGCAGTTTTCTGTGACCCCCACCCCCGTCTTCCACCCAGGTACATCCTCCTGACACCTGCTGTCCCTGTCACCTAAAATGCTTTCCCACCAGCAGATCCCAATCCAATCAAACACATGCCCCTACACTCAAGGCAATCTTTTCCTTCCTCTGCGCTTGACCAAAAAACTACCACAGTTCAGCTCTGTGGCTTCTATCTGGGTCCAGAGCCTCATACACCCGGGAGAGAAAGCACTTCTTCTAGCACTCCCGCCTGCCCCCCCCCCCCCCCCCCCCCCCCCCCCCCCCGCCACCTCCCCAGACCTGATCCAGAAGGAGAAAAGCTTGCTACAGACCACCCAAGGGACGGGTGGAGCTAGACCTGCTCCTTAGGGGTTGGTCGGGCTCCTACAACACTGCAGCGTGGGCAGCAGGAGCTGCGTGGGCTTCCATTCCCACCTGCTCTGCCAATAACTCCCTGTGCACTTGCCAAGTCCCTTCTCAGCTCCCCGTTAGGATCCTCAGATACAAATCTAAGAGTTTGAACTGCAAATTCTCTGGATTCCCGCGACTATCTCTCTGATTCCAAAGTCCTAAGCCCTGGCATCCTATTGGTTCTCAGGCTTGCCTTTTTAGCGTTCTAACAGTCAATGATCTTATTCTTGGCAAAAAGCAAAGCTCCTCTTTAACCCCGCGCGGCAATGGCCTTTCACGACCTGCCCAGTCCCTCCCCTAGGCCTCACCTGGCTCAGAGTCCCAGCGCTCCAGGGCGAGGGGGGATTCTGACAAGTTACAAACCTGCGCTGCCCAACCAACCTGTGCGCCCACCACCTGCGCCGCTCTCCACCTGCCCTGCCCGCCACCTGGCCCTCCCGCTGAAGGTGCCACCGGTGCGCCCACACCCCGCCCCGCACCCTCCGCCCCCCCACCCCCACCCCGGGCCGTCACCTGAAGCCGGAAGCGCTGCGCCGCCTTGTCCATGGTGTCCAGGGCCGCTCGCTGCCTCCGTCGCGCCCGGGTCACCGCGCCCCGCGCCGTCCGGCGACCGGACCAGCGCAGGGCCATGGCCGCCGCCACGAAGCAGCAGGCCAGGGCAGCCCCGGAGGTTCCAGAGAGCGCGGGCCACAGCACGTCCAGCACCATGATCTCCGCCGCCTGCCGCAGCCGAGGGCTACCGAAAAAGAGCCCGCACGCGCGGGCTCAACCGCAAAACCCGGCCTGGATCCGCCGGGGATGCTGCGCCCGCCGCGCTGGAGGCGGGAGGAGCCGCGCGGGCGGGAGCGGGGGGCGCCGTTGCCTGGCAGCGGGCGCGAGGCAGGCGGCGCGCAACCGTCAAGGTCAAACCCCACGCCGGGCTGGGGCTGCGCCCCACGCTCTCCCGCTCGGGCCAGGAAGGGCAGGGGGGCCGGGCGGGCAGTCGCCTCGCGTGGGCGCCCTCGGACGCAGGAAGCAGAGCAGCGGGTCCGCGCCGCCGCCCAGCCGGGCCTCGCCCCGCGCACGCCGGAGCCCCGAGTCCCGGGAGTCGGTCGGGAAAGGCGGGTCGAAAAGACGGGGAGGAGCGACAGATTGGGTCTCGGGCCTGATTCATCCAGCAGTTTAACAGCAGCTTTCCACGAGAGCCTTGCGGAGGGGGCTGAGCGCGGAGAGGGCACACCTGTCCCGTGCGCGCGGGGCTTCCGGGATACCTGGCCTTGGACCGGCACTGGAAGTACCTGTCAAGGCTTCCGCATCTGCTGCTTTCTTCCCTTTCCCAGCCCTGGGACTCCTTGTTATTCGCCCTGGACTCTTCATAGCCAAGCCATCACTTGTCCTTCTGCTTAGCCATCTCCTGCAGACTCGGCTTCCCAGGGTCACCCTTTCCAGTCCTGGCTCTCTTGGATTGCACACTCACAAAGCAGAAAGAATACCTGACCAGAAAGAGTTTGGGGCTATCTGGCATCTTTTAATGAGAGAGCTGAGAGTATTACACACACACACACACACACACACACACACACACACACACCCCTACCATAGGCCTTTTACAGAACCTTATGTGCTTTAGCTCATTTGTCCTCCCAACAGACCTATGAGAAGAAATTTTCATTAGCCTCATCTTTATAGATGAGGTAAGTGAGGGGTTAAGTGTCTTCTGTGGGCCACACAAGAGCCTGAGTGACTGCAGGTCCAGTCCTAAACCATCGCTCTAAAGCATCAAGCAGGATTACCAATGTACTGCCCCTGGGAGTCAGGCTAGTGGGGTGGAGTATAGGAAAGTGCTTTGTGACTGGAAACACTCAGCTGTCTGTCAGTCAGTCCAGTTCTGTTTTCACCTCTCAATCTAAATGGGTTGGTTATAGTGCCTACCTCAAAGGATTTTTAGGAGAGGGACATGAGGGCCTTTTCCTGGTACATCGTAGGTCCATACATGTGTATTGACTAGGTGAAAAGCACACCTGTAGAGAATCTTGGATGTTACTGGGAGAATCCAGACCTGAATGCCTTGCAAGTCACTGTCAGACTCTTGAATTCAGGAGGATACCAAGGCCTTGAGTTTCTAAATCTTCACTTCTGTTGAGTGCTTCCGAGTTCTACTCAGCACTGATGGCCCGTTGTAAGTTTTACATTCATGGACCTCAGTTTCCCTAGAAGAGAGGAGCTGACAGATAAAGGATGATAGAAAATCCAATCTGAAGGAGGTTCTTGCAAAGTCACCTGCTCCTCCACAGGATCAAGGAATTCTAGCCTTGATTAGCCCTTCACTCGCTGGGTAATCTTTGGTAACTCAATTTTCTTTTCTCTAAAAGGAGACGCATTCTTCTTGCATTCTTGCAAGATGACTCCCTTTTCCTCTCAAAAAGGAGAAAATAAGATAATAGTTATGGGAAATTTTGGGCCTCCGCAGTGGCATAGCAGGTTGAGCGCAGCGCTGCGAGGCTCTCTGCAGTCTCTGCAGCGCGGGTTCGATTCCTGGCCAGGCAGGAGATTCCCACAGCGGACCTCTCCTGTCTTGCCCGCTACTCCCCTCAGAAGTGCTTTCAGTCAGTCTGCCTGTTCTGCTCCCTGCTCTGTCTCTGGTGAATCCTCTCACCCTCCCGCACCCCTGGCCTGTACCCCAGCTATTGTGTAAATTAAAAAATAAATATTTTTAAAAGATTTATTTATTTATGCATACAAGAATGGGGTACAGGCCAGAAGTGGGAGGGTGAGAGGATTCACCAGAGACAGAGCGGGGAACAGAACAGGCAGACTGACTGAAATACACTGCTGAGGGGAGCAGTGGGTGAGTCAGGAGAGGTCTGCTGCACCATGTGGGTAGCTCCCTGGCCAGGGATTGAGCTCGTGCTGCAGTGGCTGCAGATAGCTTCATAGGTTGCATCTTAACCCCTTGCGCCACTAAGGAGGCCCTAAAAAATAATTCTTTAAAAAAAAAAGTAGATATGGGAAATTTTGGCCATTCTGAGGCTTAATCACCAAGTTTGTAACCTGTTGTGAATTGAGCCAAGATCTGTTTATTTAGAAACTCCACTGACAAAGTATTCACTTGTATTTGTTTGCTATAATGATGATTTCTCTAGGTAGTAACATCCTGTGGGCATATAAAACAGGATTTAATTTACCAAAAGGATCTGGAGATGAAGGTCTTGCACTGAGTCTGACATCTGTGGTTCAATTCAACAAACGTCCACTGAGCCCTGCTGCTAGTACATGATAAGATTTGTGGGGAAATCAAGGCAAGCACCAGATCTTGAGTCTGTGGAACTCAAGGTGTGATTGGGAAAGAAAAAACACATAGACCCAAAAACAAAGACATTGCTTTGTTGAAAAAGGTAGAGAGCATGCCACAGAAATCCAAAGAGCATTGGATGCTAAGCCCTTGGGCTGAACAGGCCTAGAGAAATCAAATAGCACAGTGGTTTTAAACTTGACTCTGGGGCCTCCCTGGTGGCGCAGCAGTTGAGCGCTGGGTTGCGAAGCTGCCCGCAGCCTCTGCAGCGCTGGTTCGATCCCCGACCACCTGGTGAGGGTCCCACATGGCACGACAGACCTCTCCTGCCGCGCCCACTGCTCCCCTCAGCAGTGTACTTCGGTCCTTCTGCCTGTTCTGCTCCCCACTCTGGCTCTGGTGAATTCTCTCACCCTCCCGCGCTTCTGACTGTACCCAGTGCTTGTATGAATAAATAAATAAATCTTGTATGAATAAATAAATAAATAAATAAATAAATCTTAAAAAAAAATAAAATAAAATAAACTTGACTCTGGAGTGTCTGGTGACCCATCCTTGTCATGTGACTGTGCCCCAGTTTCCTATCTGCAAAATAATAATAGTTCCCCCTCATTCTTTAGTACTCTTAAGAATCAAATAAGCTAACACAGGGCATAGCTAGAACAGAGCATAGGGTACAGTAAACAACACATGCATGTTGATCATTTTTATTATTATTGTTATTGTTGTTGTTATTATAAAAATAGAGACCTATATATAGAGAGGGGTTGTTGACCTAAGAGGCCCAAGCTCAGCAACCAGATTGAGTTCAAATCCTAACTCTGATACTTGCCTACGGTGTAACTTTGCATAAGCCACTTTAACCTGTTATGCCTCAGTTTCCATATCTGCAAAAGGGGGGGATATTTTTAGGGCCTACTGTCAACCCCAGAGAAATAATCATGTTTCAATATAGTCGAAAGGCATTTATTCAAGAACAGGAATCATGATTCGCGTCCACAACAAGGCATGTTCATCAGAGGAAGGGCAGAGTCTTAAAGGAACAGGTAGGGAAGATGGTCTGAGGTTAGGTCAGTTGTGGTGAAATTTGAATTGGTTTATCTGTCTCTAATTAGTGCACAAAAGTCTTCAGACAGAATGTTGCAGTGTGGGGTGGGCTGTCACAACTGGGATTATCTCTTGTTTTTTCCATAGTCACCCAATGACTGAGACAAGCTGTTTAATTTTTATGTAGAAGTGTTAACATGGCAGCTTAGAGACAAGATGGAGTTTGTTTGACTCAAAACAGGATCCATACTAACTCACAGAATTATGAAGATTAAATCAGTTAATTCAAGGAAAGGTCTTAGAACAACCTTGAGTCCATTATAAAGGATTCAATAAAGATTAACACGTTATTTAAACAGAAATGTGATGCAATCCTACCAGTGTTTCGGGAAAGCAAGTGGAAGCAGGTCAAGAGATACAAGCTAACAGAGGCCATGGAATACAAGAGCAGGTGACTACTCATATCTATCAGGGATGGGTTTCCAAGGCTCCACCTGGTTATCAGAAAAAGTCATCACCACACCATTCTATCTAGCCAGAACAGCAAGTATCTGTACTTAGGTGGTACATGCACTGGAAAATTACTCTTACCTGCTATTGTCCCCCAAATAGGCCCTAGTGGGTTCCCTAGGTGAGATCAGGGTCCTCCCAGTTAATTAGCAACCTTGAGCAAATCATCCTGTGTGGCCTCAGCTGTCAGGTGAGAAAAAAGTTCCTTTGCCAAGTTCCTTTGGAGGTTGGAGGTGGAGCTCAGGAGAGGGAGGAGAGCTTGCCTAAGGGGAAGAGAGCTTCTCAAATTCTACAGGGTTTGAAGTTTGTCTTTGTTCTGGGGATGAGAAGAGTGTGCCCTGTTCTCAGCAACTGAGCTGCTTCTCAGTTTCCTTTAACTTCTGTGGGATTTTCCTGAGACTCGGGCAGTAAGGAAGGGTTACAGTCCTGTAGGCACTCACAATAGCACTGGTGAGGTTGATACCACACTCAGAGACACTGTGCTTCTAATTTTCAAAGCACTGTCAGGTTTTTGACCTCTAAGACGTCTATACTGACCTCTGAGTTAGGGAGAGTTGTCTCTTTTGATAAGATGACTACAGGAATGATTCCATGCCCCACTCCTTTATCTGTGCTCTTTGCAATATAAGTTTTCAGTCCTTCCCTCCACAGGGTGGAGTTTTATTTCCCCACCTGAGTAAGTCTAACATGACCTTTGTGAGCTTGCTTTAACAGAATATAGTGCAAAGAATATTGTGCTAATTCTGAGCCCAGTCTGCAAAACAACTGTTTTCGCTCTCCAGGAATCCTACCACTGCCATGAGAATAAGTCTGAGAATAAGTCTGCCAGAAGATGAATCCATGTGCAGTAGCACCTATTTATTAGCCCTGTGTGTTCCTAGTTGAGTCTCAGGCCCTTACACAAGGCTAGGAGA